GAGACTTCATTTGACCTGACTAAAAGGTTGTTGACATGAACTGACTGTTTTACTTACCTGAACTGAAGAAGATCAATCGTGTAAGTGTGCTAACTCAGGCTATTTAATGATACTAATGGTGATGCCTGAATTTAATCCAACAGTTTACAAAGACTGGTTATTAACATGAATCCCATGGATAATTTATGAGTTATTCTATACAATCCACCTTAAATTTCCGGTAGAAACTATATAGTTAAGGCTGGTTGTTAAGGGGGGGGGAATCCAAGTAGTAACCGGGACGAGTTAAACACTCGTACTGTGTTGTACCTTTCAGATTTGACCAGCTTCTTATGATTATCAACAAAATGAAGGTTCAAGTATCCTACACGACAATGTAGAATCTCTTATAATAATACCTTCATTCAGGTTGTCCACTATGTGACTGTGTAATAAGAGGAAGTAAATATGACCGGGGATAAAGAAGAGAGACAATGAAAGGATGGGTAACAAATAGATAAACTCATTACCAATGACATTTTAGATTTTCAGTTATATCACTAAGGTTCTAGACATGATGATTCCTTATGACTTTTCATTTCCAAGCTGTATAATTTATTTATGTGTATATGCTTCATACAGATGGTAGATTATTCGATACACTGACTTCATAGCCTTTTTTTGACCAGTTTACTATCATAGCTTCTCTACTCATTGGAACTTCAACCAACATCATACATTCATATAGACAGACAGTAACATTTTCTAATCATTGTAGCAGTTCAATTTCACAATATCATCGATTATAACTTACCTTCTTTGTCTATAAAATATAAACAGTTATAGTGTGTACATATTTTTAGAAATTTTTTTTCAATTAAACTTCATGACTATTTTATCTCCTACAAAACTGTTTATTATTATTTTCTTTTTTCATCTATTTTCTTTGAAAATAAAGTTCCATTTCAGTAAAAGTTTATCACTTCAATTTATCTGATGGATTCAGTAAAGTTGATCAAATCATCAATCTTCTTTCTCAATATGTTCATAATTTAAATGAATCAGATCAGCAACCATTATCTGATTGGATAATTTTATGCATTGAATCAATGAACAAAATTTCTGGGAACAGTACAATAAAATTATTGATTATTTTAAGTTGTTACATTCCAAAAATTCGGTAAATCAACCAATTAACAACTGGTAAGTAAAGTATTTACTATTTTTATGATAAGCAGTTTTTATATCAATCCAGCCTAAGCTAGATGTCTTGTGGAAACCACAATGCACTTCATAAGCATTTCGTCCTAGTCTATGATTCATCAGTAGTAGACAGTCATGATCTTGAGTGATCCGAAATGTGACTATATTTGAAAATATCATTTTTACATTTATCTGTCTGGTAGAAGAAAAGTTCTATATAAAGTAGGAAGTTATCCGGTTTCTCTAGTGAGATATCTATATATCTTGCTGTAGACTGAAGGATAATGACGGATAGCGGCTAATAGTGGGATGCAATATGCACGTTTCTTCCTGTTTGGTACTCACCAACTAGTTACACCTACCTCTCAGTGAGTAATGTTGTCCCTACTAAGAAGTGAACTCAGATTCAATCAATTCATACGCCAGAACGCGTTATCCACTAGGTCATCATAGTCACTGCTTATATAATGGGTATAGTAGAGCCTTCATGTTAAAGGTTGTGAATTCATATCATTAATTTTAAGAAGTTTTTGCATCGTCTGTTGTGACCGAGTGGTGGTTGAGTGCGTGGGTATAATGAATACTGAGACTCAATACACACTCAACTGAATACCTTTACGACTGACCTCCCTCAGTACCTCCTGCTTCACTGAGCCGTGAAGAAATCATAAGACAGCCTGTGATTGCAAGGACAACGACGACTTTTACTAGGCAAATACATGACATATATGTATTTACAAAACTGTCAGAAAGTGAAGCCATAAATGAACCAATCAATTTGTTGTATGAGGTTGAAGTTCTCCAATCAGGTTCTGATGTCAGCGCAAGCATAAATCATGACCTTAACATGATCTGATCATGACTTGAAAACAACTCCCCAACTGGCTGCCTTTTTGTCGCTACGTATCAAAGTCACAAAATCAAAGCTGAAGGATAGTCGATGATATTCACTTGAATTTGTATTAGGTAGTACAAATCTTCACAGTCAGCTATGCAGTTACTTTCTTTTGTGTCATATTTATGCTCATTTTATGGCTTCTCTTGAAAATGATGATGAGTAATCGGACAGTAACGAGGTATCGTAGTTAGATACCATTTGCTAATAGAAGTCAGCTATTGGAAGCTTTATAAAGGAACTGGAAATTATAAGTATTAAAGGACTCTTTTTATATTTTATATATATACAAAAAGTCATTCATTGTGAAATGCTTGATGATATAGAATAATAATAAAAATAACAATAAATGAAGGCTACTTCTGACAAGCATATTCATGAAATTCGTTTGATAGAAAATCGATAAAACTACTGTATAACTTGTAAGTAGTATTCGTGTCCAATGAAACATTTCATATGATGATTAAATGAGATGTAAGTGATAAAATTTCGAAAAAAAAAACAGCACATTAATGTAGGAAATAGCCTAGCCTACAGATTTCATTCCTATCTACTAACGGATACAGTATGATTTGGTTACAATCACTATACAATACACACTTTCATAAATAGAATCGATATGGGAAGATAAACATCGAAAATACTTCGATGAAACCACAACTACTAAAAGAAACAAGTATTCTTAACTGATGTAATTTTCATTTAGTAAATCTGCATATTTAAGGGATTTTTAGTGACTTATAGGCCTCTTTGAATGTATTCATGTGTGTTAATGGAGTGACTCAAAAGGCCACCCTAGTAACTGCCAAGACAGCCAGTTATTTGTCCCTTATGTTCCTCGTAGAACATAGGGCTTCAGTACCACGTCACCATTGCACTCGGTTCTCTGCAGTCTTTTGAACCTGACCCCACAACTACCCACAAGCTCTCATTTCTTCCTCACACGATCTCCTGCATTTCACCCTTAGACGCCCAACTCATCATTTCCACCTTTGGGTTCCACTAGATGGCCTGGTCTGTCATGTGATGTCCCCAATCGGCCTTCGCAGTGTATGTCCAATCGAATCACTCTCCACTTTCTTCTGCTTATTTGTGGAGTGATAAGTTGTTGGTTGGCTTGTTGGCAGCCAAAGTTCCTTGTTGCTTATTCTTTCTGAGACAGCCAGTAACGTCTCTTTATTTTATGAAAAACCGTCTTTCTAGCCGGAATGGACGACTTTAAAGGTCACCCTAGCAACTGCTGTAATAATCAATCAGACTTCTTTATTATGTGAATATCTGCCTTTCCAGCTGAAATAAAGGAAGCTAATTGGGTTGCTTTAATCGTTGTTAGGGTGGCCTTTGAGGTCGCCCAGCCGGAACTCCTAAACCTGATTGGTTATTTCAACAGTTGCTGGGGTGGCTTTTAAAGTCACCCGTGTTAGTGTCTTATCATGCAAAGCATACCATTGAAATTTCATCATGAAAAAGCTTTTATAGGGTTCATAAATTTAGCATGAAGAGATAGCTGTTTCTAACTGTACTGTAATTAACAGTCAACGAGGGAAAAAATTACTTTATTTGTTTCTCGGTCTCAGTGTAAACGCTTTTTTAAGAAAGGAGAAATTACTTTTCGTTGTAGTTTCCGAGGAGGAGGCTAGCATTCCACTCCAGGACGCCTGTTTTATCCTATTTGGCACTAGACAATGAGACGTATCAGCACTCTAGTAAGTGATGTAATCCCCACTGGGAATTCAAATCCATTACTCATCGCTTCAATAATCAGAGTGTTATCCACTAGGCCACTGAGACACGACGGCCATCTCTTATGCACCGGATATCACTTGTTGTTTATTGATACTTATATTGAATCGAATTGCTCTGCTAGCCACCATACAAATGATAGGTTACTTTATTTTTCATCAAAAAGTTCTAAGTACTGGGTTTAGAGCATGCACTCCACTCTATTTATGTCTTTGCCATTTTATACTGTTTAAGTGGTGCAGTATGGTTTACCATTCACGGGTTTGGTGTCCACGTATGCAGCTAGCTTCGTGCTGGACTGGATGCACGTTAGCGGTACGGTAATGAATTCAGGCTGCAGCATTGATCTAGTAGTTAGTGCGTTAAGACTGCAACAGAAGTTGCAACACAGACCTTCACACTGTATAAACAATTGCGTAACATCCCACTGCATTTACCAGTTTGCATGTGTATGACACACATACATAGGGAGGACTAAGTGAGATATACACTGAAGGTGGAGGGGTGGGAGACATGTACCAAAATGGCTATAACAGCAGCTAGATTCACAAATATTGATAAGCACAATTGGTGGACAATCATCATCATTCATTACAAGGCATATTATTAACAAAGGTCACAGGATTGATATTAAAACAGCCTTTATAACAATATTGTATAGAAACTATCAGGCGCGTAGACTTCAGGTTCGTTGAAGCGCTAGATATACACAAATTCAAGCCCCCTGTTATTATGTTCAAAAATAGTTTTTCCTTATGTTGAACCTAACCTGGTAATGATTATCTTATCATTGTCTTCAAATTTTATTATTCTCTCTTCAAGTTGTTATTCATCGCAGACTGACATCAGTTGAAGGAACAAAGGGAACATAGGAGCACTGGATAGCTATTTCGTCCTAGTATGGGACTCTTCAGCAGTGAGCACCCATGACTCTACGCATTATCTTTCTCGTTTATTATTAAATTATTTTGTGTTATTCATAGTTCTCTTTCCTCCACTGTCATTTTTCATGTAAAATATGTGATAAGACTGTTTGAAATGTATAGCGCAAATAGATCACTTTTTTTTTCAGATAAACTATATTTTTGAACTAGATTACTTTTTTTTTGTCATCAGTATAGTAAATATTCTCATATTGTATGTTATTCAATTATATGGTTATTATTATGTTATATTTTAGTTGTATTTACCTAGTTGGTACATGGATATTGTCAACAACTGACTTCAGTAAACAATCACAATCACTTCCAATACAATTTGAAAATTTTCCAATACACCCTACAAATACAATATCATATCCAGAACATTATCAATTATATACACCTGTACAATGTATTAATGAATTAATGTGTTGGATTAAAATAGATCATTCCTTATGTCGTCTATATATGATACGTTATTTAAGAAAACAACTTATCCATTCATTAGTCAATAATATTCAAAGAATTTTAGCATCAAATCTTGTCAATAATGATTTTTTAGAGAAATTTTTCAGTCAAGCTAAATATTATGAAAATCTTATTCAATGGATTGAACAGGTAAGCTTATTTGTTAAACAGTTCAATAATCAGTCAATGTATACAATCTATTCTAATAGGAGGTCAATCATGACCTAAATAGCTGAGTGGTACTCGGTGGTGTGGGTTCGAATCTCTGTCGAGGTTTCATATATACCTAGCTGAGCTTCTTGCCAGTAGCCACTATCCAGTTAATGTCATTTATTCATGATTCATTCGTTTACATTTTATTGATCAGTGGTGCAATATTGTTATTTTTTCCCTTGGGTTCCTAATGGAACATAGGGCTTCAGTAGCACACAATCTCTTCTCTGCAGTCTTTTTAACCTGGCAACACGACTGCCCACAAACTCTTATTTCTTCCTCACATGATCTCGTCCATGTCACCTTCGCCTAGGAAGCCCAACTCGTCGTTTCCCTTTTGGATTCCACTCGACGACCTGGCCTGGCGCATGATGTCCCCAATCGGCCTTCTCAGTGTATATCCAATCCAACCATCTCCACTTTCTTCTACTGCATATTTTTTGGGTGATAGGTTCTTGCTTCGTTACCAGGCCAGAGTCCTTGTTTCTTATTCTGATTATTCTGGCCATCTGATCTTCAGTAATGAGTGAGCCAACGTAGTCAGTTGTTGACGAATGTCTTTTGCTTTCTTTGGAAATGCTTTTCATGACGTGCCAAGTTTATGAACTATATAGAAGGACTGACTTGACTGGCTTTGGTGTTGAGATGTTGTTCACGCTTTATGCTGAGTGCAGTAGATCTCCACACTGATTCAGACTAGTGAAAGCCTGTCTTGCTTTCCCGGTCCTGGTTTTGACATCGCCACTGTGCCGCCTGTAGTTGAAACGATGTTGCCTAGTTAGGTGTAGAAGAAAAGGACTACTTTTTTAAGTTTCTCCCGTTAACGGTGCTTGTTGTTGGTTGGGTATCTTCATCATTCACTTGAAGTTCTGTTTTCGATGCCCTGCCTCTCCTGTCAACTTGTTAGTTTTCGCCTGTAGATCTTCGAGTTTGTATGACAAGACATTAGACATAAATCATCAATGGCGAAATCCTAATCTTCTTCTGAGCTCTTTTCATCGGTGCAGCGTATGCCCATCCTCTCGCTCCTCACTGTTTGCTGCATGATCCAGTCGACAACAATCAGGAAGACCATGGGTGATGGTAGGCAGCCTTGTCTTACTCCTGTCTTTACTTCAAAGGCGTCACTGAACTTTGGAGTTTCTTTAGCGATTGGATTGGTTTTACTGGGTAGGGTTGCTAGCCCTATGCCCAGCCTTCTTTTTTTACCCGTGCATAGGACCGGCTAGTAACCGGCGAACTAGTTAACCAGGGGAGGTGGCAAAAATGACCTATTCATGTGTGGAAGTATTTACTCATAAGTGATTGTTGAATTGAAGATATACCTTTCCTCTGTTTTCAGATTCATTAGCTAAGTAAATCTACATCCTATTATGGCAGAGTTCATTTTTGATAGTTGAATGAAACCCGTTTCATCTCGAATGACAGCAGATTTGTCAATTTATTGATATACTTGTAATTCTCCATTGTTTTATTGGATCTGATTGTCTGACGTCTATTGGCATATGGGCTCTTATGCGGATGCCTTGATACTACCTGAGTGTTAATTATGGTAATTTGCTTGGTTGTGACTATCAGAAGAATCCAGGCCACACATTTCGTTCTATTCGGGACTCATCAGTTGGATGTACATACACCCAGTGAGTGTTGTTCCCACCCTTATTAGCATATGGCTCGAACAATTCGATCCAATAAAAACAACGGAGGATTACAATTATATCAAAAAATAGTCATTAATAATAGCTATTGTACAAGAAATGGCTATCGCCCCTCCGTGGCATAGTAGATAACGCCTTGGCGTTTGAAGCTATGTTTCAAGGTTCGAGTCTCAGTGGGAACAACATCACTCACTGGGGTACATGTACATCCAGCTGAAGAGTCCCGAATAGGATGGAAGTGCGTCCTGAATTCTTCTGCTAGCCACAGCCAAGCAAAATGTCTGCTCATCTTCATTTTTGTAAGGGATTTAAGTTGACACTGTGTTTAGTAGTAGTAGTAGTAGTAGTCTGATGTCGTTATCAGTCCAAATTCACCATCTATTATATAAGCATTTAATCAATTATTTATCAATATACCTATCATTGTCGATCGATTTGCTTCAGCAGCAAGTGGTCATAAACCACAACATGGATACACTTTGTTAGTCCGAAGGATAGAGAGAGATATCTATGAAACGTATTTCACCTATTTATTTGTTTTTTTCCCAAGTCATGACAGAAGTGAATTCGTACAATGATTATATTTATGAAAATCATCTTAAAACTTATCTATATTCCACAGATTTTGTTTGAGAAATCGAAAAATAAACACTCAAGTTATACGTAATCCTCATACTATGATGTAAAACTGTATGAAGTATTTTTAGAACTGTACACCTTCCATCATGAAATGTTAAAGTATTTTTCACAGCATAAATAAGCATATTCAATAGAGTTTATTTGAAAACAAACATATGGTGTGTAAATGTTATACGCAGTTAATCATTATTGAGTATGAAAAATGTGTAAGTACAGGTTGAAAAAACATTCAAAAAATGACATGTACAAACTGAGAAACAGATGGTAAATGAGACAATAGGTTCAAAGAAGAAATTAAGACTTAATTTATTGAAATGAATATAAATTAGACCATTTGTAACACATCTTTAATATCCAACAGAACATATATAGCCATTAAGTCATAGGGTGTAATACCACTACTTGCCAGTAGTAAGTAGTATAAAAATGAAAGCATAAAAAACACGGAGTAGGTTATAGAAGTGAGTGGATAGATTGTAAATTATGCATCAGTTAATCGATATGGTAAATTATCCTCCTGGATTGTGTTCTATAAATTATCACCCAACTTTAAATTTTATGAGGAGGAATTGAGCAATTGAGGTATTAACCATCAATTTTTTTCAATCTTTCTGGTTTCCTTTTATTACTTTATTAAATCATACAGTCCCTATATTATCTAATGTGTAGAGGTAAATAAGAACAGATTTGGTCTTATTCATAGACACTAAGCTAACGAAGGTCAACAAATACCGAAGTAATATAATTTCATGTTGGATATACTCAAATGAAAATAGACATTTCCATCACAAAGATTGTCAAACAATAACCACTTAAATCATTGTAACTTTTCAGTTGTTTAAACTAACCAATTGAATCCTGGATAGCAGTGTTGCGATTACTTCAAAATTCTTATTTTCAAATTCTGGAGAAAGAAGGAAATATGTTCTGATTATCGGTAACTCCAGGCACCCAAAAACAGTATCTAAAACACATCTACTTGGTAATTATTTCAAAATGGAAGGCTTCACTAAAGATGACTGTGTTTAATAGAAGCATCTTTTCGAAAGATTATATGGAATAGAAGTGGTCGTTTTCGCAATGATAACTAGGCACACTCATCAATGAATTGACTAAGAGATAGAGGGAATTTTACTACAGTTTTCGCCTCAGGTCCTCGTCTTTGTGAACGTCATTGTCAACGAACTTAGGGGTCACCCCCTCACCGAGCAGAAGACGTCATAGTAACCTATCCCCATAAAAACAAATACTCTTGCTACAGTACTGTTTTAACTTCACTTCAGAACTGATCAGTGAACCCTAAAACCCTCTCAACTGTCAGTCTTCAAGACATCCATATTCGCTTGGTACTGAGATCTTTGACCGTACCAACCTCCAATTGAGCTTACTTCGGGAATCACATTTCGAAGTCCTAGTGAGAAGTAGTGACCAGTGGGACAAACCTGATGGCTGCAAGGACAAACACTCAACAATAACATTCGGTGACTGTTGCTCTATGTCGTGAAGTGACAGAAGTTGGAAATATGAACGATTGAATTCCGACCCAGCGGCTCATTGGCAACGTGCTGGCCACAGAACCTGAGGGTCGTGGGTGCACACTGCTGAAGAGTCCGATACTAGTACGAAACAGCTGTGCAGTGCTCCAGGTCTCCATTGTTCCTCCAATTGATGTCAATTTACGATGAATACCGACTTGAAATAGCAGTATATTTCCCTGTAACTAGTCACATTTGATAAATCGTTGAAAATTTAAAACGATTTGTCGTCTTATGCAACAATAATAAAGTTATTTTGTCTTTTCTTGACAGGTTTGTGATCATTTAGATCAGTTTCTAAATGACGTGCAAAATTTGAATCGAAGTCCAACTATTGATCATATTTATCTGATCAACTCCTCTTTATTCTTGAATCTTCCTTTCAATGATCCAATGGCTTGTGAATCTTGGTTCATTCAACTATGGAATAATGATATAGCTGAATACGTCAAGAAGGTTATTATGGAGTTAAGCAGTAGTGATAAGTCGACGAATTTTGTGAATTGTTCAGATCCCACAGAATGGATCCTATCCACATGGCCTTGGAGTAAAATAGATTTTATAAGACTTTACAATGAAAGTAGTATCATTGATGAACATAACAGTTCAGAAATCAATTTGCCATCATTGAAACGATTAACTGAATTGTGTTAAACAGAATTTTGAAAAAGGAATTTAAACGGCTAACGAAATCATTTTACTTTTAACGCATCATACTACTTAATAGTAGGTAAAATGATTATGCTAAATAATTTTAACTGATTAAAATCACGACAACATACACTAATGAACACAATGAATCGTTACTAATGTCAAGGTTACTTGAATTTATTTATTCAACTTCAATTAAACTGTGCATGTGTATATAGGTCAATGTAAAAAATGTATACACAATGATAAAGAACACCACTTTTTAATTTAATTATATTACATACAGAACAGATTCATTATTAAAGAGTAGTTGTTTACAATTTAGACAAACGAAAAACGATAGATATGAAAAAAAGAAAGAAACTCTGATCAACTTTTTACGGGGATCTTTTATATACTATTATCAGTGTATACTGCTAAAAATATCATGTGCAATATTCTCCCCAAATGTTTTCCTTTTATGATTTTATATAATTTAATCTCATGAAGAAGAAAGAAAATCACGTGAGAAGAAGAAAAATATACAGAGATGCCAAGTTTGTTGTATCATTTCTCACTTTGTTAGTTATTTAATTTTCTAATAACAAAATAGTTTCTAATGTTATGGTACCTCGATGTATACCATTTACCCTAGGTAAATGAGGGTTTTCTTCTATAGAATGTTTATTTTACAACATCCCAATATCCATTCTTATAAAGGTAGTACTTTGAAGCAACTCGGAGGAAGACAATAAACTAAGATAATACAAATGAGTTGAAAGGATCACAGGGAATAAGTGAACAAAAGAATAAATGAAGTTTGGCTGAGAAAAAAGTCCTACTAATTGATCCAGAAAGTCGATTTATCAGGATATCTGATGCTGCATCACCTTGTACATTCTTATCAACAAATTGACTAGGATAGCCGTTTTCCACAAGTGTCCATCTTATGAAAATTAAGTTCAACTTGTACAAATATCACATATTCGATAGCACAGTGAGTGAATGAAGTTTCTTTTCCTTATAATCGGATCGCCACCTTACTATAGAAATGAGTAAGCTGTTCGTTCCATATGGGTTTCCCGTAAATGGATCTTTTCAGCGTTCCATTGCTACATCTTGTAATCAGTATGTCAAAGAAAGGAATAGCTGATTCTAATTCTCTCAGTATAGTGAATTCTAATAATGAATGATAATTGTTGAACTCGTGTAGGATGTCATCCAGATTGATAGTTGAGTCACAAATAACCCAAAAGAATAGATAAATGAATGCAGCAATCATATCTATCTATAGTGAAGCGCATAGATCAAATGGAGAAAAGGAATATTGACAAAGCTTTTTATTCTATGCAAGTAACTACTATGATGGAATTCTCCTAATCATATCATTCTCCTTCTCAAACTGTACATTTTGCAAGCTTCTTAATTTCTTCAATTAACCTGGAGAAAAATTCATGTCTAGACAATAGTCCTGTTAACCGACATAATTCACCGCAAACAAAACATTGACAACCTCAATGATAAGAAAATAAAATAATCAGAGTTTCAATTACATCGATCCCCACTAATCTCTCTTAACAATAACATAAGTGAATATTGACACCGTTTACTTGATCAACGTATATGAGGTAATCAAACAATGAGCACCCAAGAAATCTGAATATCAATAACAACCTCTTCAATGAATAGTGACAACAGGATTGAAGACTTTAAATTTTCCGATTGTAGCACTCGAAGAAGATTAGATTGGAGGAGAAATTTCCTCCTCACCAAAAATTTTATCAGAGAGACACAGACAAAATCAATGTAGAACCTCGAAAACAAATGCATCTGTGCAAGTTGCCACACTTCACAGGTCTATAGAAAAAGATTAATATGAAAGTAGACAAATATACGTGTAAACCTTGCGCACTATGGTAGAATAACAATTCCATATTAGATTTGTTTATTCGATTTATAACACACAGTCAGTGATCTAGTATTATTTACTTGATGATGACGTTTCAAGCATAAATTATCATTGCTCATAATTCACATCAGTGTAGTCCCATCTGACTTTTATATTCCTATCACCGATCACTTCCGTTTATATTGGTAGTAAAATTTTCATATCTCTAGCATGGGTGTTGCGTCATTTCTATTACACATGCATTGCGATGGTCCAGTGTTCTCTAGATTATTCGTCTTATTTAGGTCTGTCATTCTATATTTAGCTAAATCCCTATGTTCATCTATTCTAACTGACCCGACCGACTAATTTGACCTATTCACTTGACCTCACAGTCATTACATGGAAGTTGATAGATTAGATTATTTTGCTTAATTAGTTCCATCGGATCCTTAAGCTAGCCAACAAAGTTCATCTCTCAGTGAGTTTGTACGTTTAAATGCCACCCTAATTCCAGCTTTGTTGAGCATCCTATGTAAAGTTTCTGATGTACCTTCCTTACAAAGTAACACAAAGTAGACTGTGAACTCCTTTCTACTAGTGTTCTCGTTATGAGTCGAACTTGTGTGACTGTCATTTTTTCGTTTTCTATGTGTCTGTAAGGATTTCTTAATAAACTGTGGAGGATAATTATTAACTATTAGCGCTTCTTTTACGTGTTTCAAACAAGTGTGTTTCAATCTGGTTGGTTGGGGTCAGTTCGAATAGCCCCGAACATAGGATATGAGGTGACAGGAATATAAAAGTCAAGTCAGATGGAATTACACTGATATGATTATGAGCAATGATAATTTATGCTTGAAACGTCATCATCAAGTAAATAATACTAGATCACTGACTGTGTATTATAAATCATAATATGGAAATTAAAAAAGTTGTGTGAGAGGATAAACAGTCTGAAGATAGTGGTTAGTGAAAATATTCAAGCTTTAGAAGGGGTCAAGGAATAAATAAATCTAGGCCATTTCAACTGATTTTCAATCGCAAAAAGTCCTCAACCAGTTATTCGTGTTATGTCGGAAACTACACCTAGGTAGTGTATATCTCCTCATATGGCTAAAACTAAGTCAGAAACTTGATCGCCTGGTACTATGTATTAGTCTGGCCATACTTAACCCTATTCCAACCTAATCCAGGTAGGCGGAAGCTTAACATGCGAGACATATGTCCAAGCTGCCTCAGTCAATGAAGGTTCACAACCTCATCAGTCGACTTGCCTGTTTTGCCTATTATTATTCGCCTGACCACAACATTGTACATGTTTTGATGTCACCAATGCGTGACCAATCCTACGAAGAGACACTTATAATCAAATCCCGGTGGCTGCTTTATGTCTTCTACTTTTAATGACCATCTGTCACAGTCGTATAGTAGGACGGGACGGACTGCAGCATAGTATACTCATCTTTTGATGGATAGTTTGATATCTTGCCAGCTGATGACAGGAATCAAGCAAGTTAGCAAGTGCTAACCAGGCTTTCTGTATCTCAGATGAGATTTCGTCAGCAACCACCCTACTAAAGTTGTTCCAACTCCCCGAATAAGTGAAAACTATGAAATTAAGAAACTTTTTCCTACATACAACAGATACAAAACAATGAATTTATCACTGACCAATTCTTGTCAGCCATTTAATAGCCCACAGTGACACCGACAGGCGATTCAAAACCAATAACTGGAATTCATTTAGGTATATACTTATTCACACAACGTATTCTGTAGCAGGTGGTGTTGAAGTTCAAAACTCATATTCATCCCACTTTTTTAACGCATCATTTGATAAATATAGTTTCATTTCCGAATTGATCAGTATCAAAATCTTAAAAAAGAAATATCAGTTTGACTAGCTGAGATTCACGTAATTTGGCAAACTTATATTGATACTAGATGATGATTGGAGGTGAAATGGAAATGTGGACCACGATAGGGTTCGAACCCCCAATCATTGGGGTTCTGATCCGGTGTTTCATTAACTAAGCTACGAAATCCGCTTGCTGATAAGATTTTTGCTTTGCTCCAGTCATCAAGGGTTCTGCCCAAACACAATATGAATTCATCATATGTTACTACAGCTTGATCGTACTGTCACTGGTTGTCCAATCAAGACCCAGTGGTCGTTGATTCGATTCATGTGGCTCCCAGACTTTCATTTCATATTTAGTTGTCACCTAGTATCAAAGAAACAATAGTCAAACATGTTAGTTGGCAGGAAGCCCTGCTGATTGCCTCCAACCAACTAACATCAACTAATGTGCACCGCACCGGGATGTTGAGCTTCCTAGCTTGGTCGCCACATTGCAAATATGATCGATAGAATTCGGTCTGCACTCAGGACTAGACAACATGAAATTGGTTGTACTCCCATGACGAATCAATACAATAGCCAAGCATCTTCACTAGAAGTTTGTTTGCCAAGTTTTGTGTACGGCTGAGCAAAAATGTCCTGTTTATATAAACATGTTATATCTAACGAAGAAAGACATGAAATTTAGTTGATTGAATGTAAGAGGAATGATCGTTGTCAGTCAGTAAGTCAGTCAAGCAGTCAGTTAGTCTGTCTGTCTGTCTATCTTCTTCTCTTTGGCCTACATACAATCCACCAAATCTATTCCATATTATCATCATTAGTAATTCATTATTGGAAATTCACCTCATGGTTTTATTGTAGTAATCCAAAATTTCATGAAAAACACAAAAGATACCAAAAAACAAAATAATCATTGTAATGAAAATATTAAGGTGAATATGATTATCGTCATTATTATCAATTGATGAATCACTAACAATTATTAGTAATTACTTCTGACTACCTGACATGATGACGAATGTACACGTAGACGTGCGCATGTACAAATACTGGGATATCAAAGAAAGGAAACTGTTTTTAAAGAAAGTCTGAACAGAATTTATGAATTTCACTCCATCTTTATTGATGGATAGTGGCTAACACAGTGGAATCTACTACGCAAGTCAACTGGATATACCTGAACTCCAGTTAGTGCCTCCAACCCAGGATCAGTCGCCTTTAACACCATACCATCAGTTGGCTACATCTTGTGTGACGAATATAGTATAATTTTAGATATTCTACTCTGTCCTGTCTGCACAATAAGTTGTTCTACTACTATAAGGAATTTAGAAATATACCATAGAATGGTATAAATAGTTATGAATTACTCTTAGTAATCTACAAATTGGATTGATGTTCACATACAATGGTTATTTTTACACTTATAAGACTTAGGTGGTCAGCAATCCGACCAAATAAATCTGATTCACAGAAAAGTTGAATGCTTCGGGTCAGCTGAATTTGTCTAGCAGACAGGTATACCCTAAAATGAGAATGATAAACTTGTAAGTTGTTTACAGATTGTATGATCCTTGTTCATGTTCATGCTTACAAGTGAGTAGTTTTCCAATGTAGTATCTATCGTCACAAGAGGCTTGGATTATAATCCGACAAACCACCATCATACATGATGATGATCTCTGATACACAATTGTCGTGAAATAATGAAATATACATTTGGGTAACATAAGTTAGCCACTCAGAAACCACTCAAAGAAGCACAATGAAACAAATTACTCATCATTGAATATCATCTGATGAAAATACGTATAGATGATGAAACAGTTTATTGATTACTAGACTTTATATGATAAAACATTATCTATTCAGTTAAACAAATCTGGATTCTCATAACTCATATTTGATGTGTACACATTGCCATCATTCAACTATAAGTCGGATCCACCTATTTACCCATATTAATCAATAGTAGCTTATTTTCTATTGACTGTAATCAATTCATTTTTGAGCTCATCTTAGTTAGTACTTAGTGAGTATTGAAAGGACACCAAGCTGTGGTATTTAAACCTCTATGATACTCAAACGATAAGCAGCTATAAATAAGATGATATAAAACATTTGTAGCACACATGGATCATATTTTCTCTGAACTGGATGATTTAATCATGAAGTTTTCATCATCATTCTAGACAATATCATCAGTATAAACATCAAAAAGAAATGAGCTATAGGATTTTCTTCACAAGTGGTACTTTATTAGCTTGTCCTAATAATGTTGGGTAAGATTGGTTGTTTCTCTTAAAATTTTATCATTGTCTCTACACTTTTTTCGATTGGCTGTCCTGCTAGCATGAACTTTAACCATCCTGGTGATTTTTCTGCTTCATATATTGAGTGACAGATTGAATCAATGTTAATATGTCGTTGATGGATCTGAATATCATGCTTCTAAGAATTCTCTGAAATTCTTTATATTTCCTCTACTCAATATTTCCACAATTCCCTAGTTGAATTCATCTCCATAGTTGTCGACATATATAATGCCAGTGAAGATATATCACAATGCTTCACTCCTAGTCGATGCTCATGTTGGCGGATATGAAGTGGGTGATCACTCTGTTCACAATAGTATTTTTCATAGTTTCTGAAGTTTATTTTGTATATGTATTGTCTTACTTGTCTTTCTTTACTTTGTGCCTTTTGACCTGCATAAGATAGAGTTAAGAGACTTTATAGGCTTATGAACTACAGAGATTCCACAAAGCTTCACTAATCTAGTTGTAATCTCGGAAATATTCTTTGTATAAGGTAAGATAATCTGTTTGTTAGTTTCCAAGGGTGATTCCTTTGATTAGTGCCAGATTAGATAAACATTTTTAGATGAAGTCACTTAGATAGCCGTTCTTCTGGGAAACAGTCATTAAATTAATGTAATTTAGTAGATCTTCGCTCTTCTCAACAATGATTTTATGCAACTGATTTCATCTTCTTCATCTTTTAAAACTCTTCAAGATGTTCAATTGAGATTATCATTACTAAATTGCATAGATTATAGTCATATAACAATAGTGAATCAACTAGCTACCTGGCAACATGAAGTAGTGTGAATTATACGTTAATACAACTTAGACACTAATGAAGCCAACTTCAATCACTGTAAACTAACTGTAATGTATTAAAACATTTACACATGAAATAATTAATCTTGCAACGCTACGCATCATCATAGAACAGAGTATAGAATGGCAGTCAACTCAACTCTACCTCAACTTTATCAACTTTGAAAAGGCCTTCAAAAGCGTCGACCCATAAGTAATTTGGCAGTCTCTTCAACACTACGGTTCCAGTCCCACAAATCTTTATCAATCTCATTCAACATCTATATAAAGACGCCACATGCCGAGTGATCCATAATAAAAAGCTCAGTGATGCCTCTGAAATGAAGATAGGAGTAAGAAAAGGCTGCTTCCATCACCCATTATCTTCCTGGTTGTGGTCGACACTACTGGATCATGAAGCAAACCGTGAGGAGCGAGAAGAGAGGCATACGCTAGCTGGACCAATGAAAAGACCTTAGGAGAAGATTTCGATTTCACCGATGACTTGTGTTTAATATCAAGCAAGCTTGAAGATCTACAGGCGAAAACTAACAAGTTGACAAAAGAGGAAGGACAGCAAAGGAAGATGGGACTTCAAGTGAATGTAGAGAAGACAGAGGTGAAGAAGATACCCAATCAACAACAAGCACCAATCATCATTAAGGAGAGCAATCTAAAGGAAGTAGTCTCTCTCACCTACACCTACCTAGGCAGGCAGCATCACTTTAACTACAGGCGACACAGACACAAATGAGAACATCAAAGCCAGCCAGGATCGGAAAGACAGCAAAACAGGCTTTCATTGATCTGAAATCAGTGTGGAGATCCTGCACTCAGCACAAAGCGTGAACAACATCCGGATTCTCAACACCAATGTCAAGTCAGTGCTGGTATATTGTTCAGAAACTTGACGCATCACGAAAAGCATTTCCAACAAACTACAGAAATTCATCGGCAGTTGCATACGCTGGCTCAATACTGACACTGAAGATCAGATGGCCAGAATAGAATAATAAGAATAGGAAACAAGGAACTCTGGCTGGCCAACGAACCAACGAAGCAAGAAGCTATCACCCAACAAATATGCAGAAGAAAGTAGAGATGGATTGGGCATACACAGAGAAGGCCGATTGGGGACATCACATACCAGACCAGGCCGTCGAGTGGAATCCAAAGGGGAAACTATGAGTTAGGTGTCCGAGGCGAGGGTGACATGGTGGAGATCATTTGAGGAAGAAATGAAAGCTTGTGAGCAGTCGTGGAGCGAGGTTGAAAAGACTGTAGAGAAGAGAGTGCAATGGAGGCGTGCTACTGAAGTCTTGTGTCCCACTAGGAACCCAATAGATCAATAACAACAGTAAAAATAATAATCAGTTTATGATACAGTGTAATCATCTATTTAATGTTATCTGTCAGTGTTTCTCGCCATATCTGAGTAGAGAAACCCCTTATACATCATGACTTCACAAAATGACTTCCAGAAGTTGATGTCCAAACAAATCATCAAACTTTATCAGATGTCGCCCTCAGCTGGGATGCACAACTCGTCGTTTCCGCTTTGGATTCCACTCGAGTGCCTGGCCTGACGCGTGATGTCTCCAGTCGGAGTTCTCAGTGTATGCCCGATCCAATCCATCTCCACTTACTTCCACTGCAGTTGTTGATAAATGTCTGTAGTTTATTGGAAATCCCTTTCGTGACGCGCCAAGTCTCTGAACCATACAGAAGCACTGACTCGACGTTGGTGTTGAAAATCTGTATCTTGTTCCGCATGCTGAGTGCAGAAGATCTCCACACTGGTTTCAGGCTAATGAACGCCTGTCTTGCTTTTCCGATTCTGACTTTGATATCCTCGTCTGTACCATCTGTAGCGTCATTTCGCCTTTCCGATTCCAGCAAGGAATAATTTTGTTTTTATCTTTTATATTTTCTTTGTGCTTTGAAGTTTCTTTAGCGGTTAGATTTGTTTTACGGGGTAGGATTGTTAGCTCTTTACCCGGGCTAGTAGGTAGTGAACTAGTTAACCAGGCGAGGTTTCCGTCAGTGTAGGCTTGGTATAAATTGAACCATCCTCTCATTGAATCAGGAGTATATCTGAGAATGACAGATGATTATTATTCTCTTTCTCAAAGTCAGACTGCTATGAGTTTGTATAGTGTTAAGGCATTTTAGTAGACAAACAATATCCTCATGTCTCTCACAAATCATTATGTCATTGATATATCTTTTGTAAGGAGAAATTCTATCGATAAAATGACTAGCTAGATTTTTGATAAAATATCAACTAGTAATGATCCAAAAGGGACTAACCATAGCTACACCATCAACTTGTCAAAAGTGTTCATCTTCAAATATAAAATGAACTTTGTCGGTATATAGCAATAATAGTTGCCTCAGAAAAATTGGAGCAATTGTAATTTAGAGGTTCCTATAAAGATAAATAGACACAGAGAATGTTAATAGTCTTGGAAAACGGTAAGTTAGTGAATTAAAGATTTAACAATAACAACAAGTTGAAGAGTATCTTTTCAAACTGGATTTAATATTTTCACCAATTTATGTGTGGAATAAACAAGATCCGGATTTTATACACCAATGTCAAGTCAGTGCTTCTGTATGGCTCAGAGACTTGGCGCGTTACGAAAAGGATTCCCAACAAACTACAGACATTCATCAACAATTGCCCACGCTGACTCGATACTGAAGATCAAATGGCCAGAAAGAATAAGCAACAAGGTGCTCTGGGAACGAACCAACCAAGAACCTATCACCCAAAAAATATGCAGGAGGAAGTGGAGATGGATTGGGCATGCACTGAGAATGCCGACTGGAGACATCACGCGTCAGGCCAGTTGCTCGAGTGGAATCCCCATGGGAATCGACGAGTTGGACGTCCGAGGGTAACATGGAGGAGATCATGCGAGGAGGAAATGAGAGCTTCTGGGCTGTCGTGGAACCAGGTTCAAAAGATCTCAGAGAACAGAATTCACTGGAGACGTGCTACTGAAGCCCTATGTTCCACTAGGAACCCAAAGGACTAATAATAATAATAATTAATGTGTGGAATAGGGAGGAATAATTAAGCCATGCAGTTGACGCTTGAAAAACAAATCAAGTGTGAAACTCATAAGATACTTTTCTTTATAGGAACCTAAATCGATAAATAAAATATACTGGAATATACATTTCAAAGTATTAAATATAAAAGAAAACAACAGATTTATTCTTAAGATTTTTCTATGAAAAATAGTAGTACATTACTATATTCAGTAAGCATTATTGTAAGCGTCTGTGTGTGTGTGTGTGTGAAAACACAAGAGATAATCACAATAACATGTTACAAAGAATGGTGAGAGCATAACCTGAAAAGTAAATGTTCTGAGAAATATTCTTCCAAAAAAAAGAGGATAAAGAACATTCAAATCAGTATTTAAAAAAAAGAAGATGAGAATAATGATAGAGAAAAAACAACTGAGACACGATGGATATGCTACAGTAGTAATATTGTGTACAAGCCTATCGATATGATCATATCGAGATAACAAGACAAGAGATTAACAAAATACAAAGGAAAGTAAGTAATTCACCGCAAATTCTTTGTAGAAAAAGTCATATGTTTAGTAAAAAACAAACAACCGTGTTGTATATCACTAATCAATCAATCATTAATAGTAATTTGAAAGAAATTAATCAAATTGTATAATTATTTCATTGAATCAATAAGATATACATAATTAGCAGGGAATAAGCCAATTTTTTTTCGACAAACACCTTTCCACCAGCCTACATCAATTTTTCAACTTCAGTTATTTGTTCACCTTTACAAAATGTTAATTCATCATCTTCAGCTAAAAGTAGAAAAGAAAAAAAAAGAAAAAAGAGGTGGAAGTCAACAAAATCAATGATAACAGGATGATTAAAACAGGATTTGAAGAGTAAATTCATAAACTATCTAACATAAGACTTGCACTTTCCATAATCATACACGGACCATACTCTGATATAACTGCTTAACTTTCATGATTCCCATTCTATAGATGTATTACAAGTGTAATTTATATCGGTGAGTGTTTTATTTCACAACTTTTCTGGTCCTCTCATTATCTTATTAATCTCTAAAAATATTTTACGCTTAACTTGCTATATTAAGACGATGAGATTATCTTGTGTCTTATAAACTCCTCCATATTGCCTATTCTCATCTATTGTTCCCCCTTTATACTTTCCATGGTTGCTGAAAAATAACTATACTGTACTGCGTAGAACTTTGAAGACTGCCACCAGAACTAGTAGTGCACTAATAAACCTTCTAATTGAAACTGTTGTGGACAAACACATTAACTCATGTAAACATCTGGCAGGAGTTATTTTATCAGATGATCAGCATCCTTTTCACTCAAAATTATCTATATCTCACTTATCTGGAAACACCAACAGTAAATGTATATAAAACTTTGTGCACGTATTATTATTATTTGTCCCTTGCGTTCCTAGTGGAACATATGGCTTCAACAGCACGTCTCCATTCCACTCTCTTCTCTGCAATCTTTCCAACCTGGCTCCATCACACTGCCAAGAAGCTGTCATTTCTTCCTCACACGATCTGCTCCAAGTAACACTCGGACGCCCAAATCGCTGTTTCCCATCTCGGTGCCACTCGAGTGTCTGGCGCGCGATGTCCACGAATGGTCTTCTCAGTGTATGCCCAATCCATCTCCATTTCTTTCTGTACATTTGTTGAGCGATAGGTTCTTGGTTGGTTAGTTGCCAGCCACAGTTCCTTGTTGCTTATTCTGATTATTCTCGCATTTGAGCTGCAGTAAAGAGCGAAAGCAGCTGTCGACGAATATCTCTAGTTTGTTAGAACTGCTTTTCGTGACACGCCAAGTCTCTGAACCATACAGAAGCACTGACTTGACATTGGTGTTGAAAATCCGGATATTTTTCACGCTTTATGCTGAGTATAGTGCAAAAATCTCCACACTAGTTTCACGTTAATGAACGCCTGTCTCACTTTTCCGATCCTGGCTGCTTTGACGTCTTCGTCTGCGCCGCCTGCAGTTCAAACGGTGGTTCCCAGTTAGGTGTGAAAGAAAGGAACAACTTCCTTTAGGTTTCTCCTGTTATTGGTGCTTGTTCTTGTTATTGTTGTTGTTGTTGGTTGCGTATCTTCATCACCTCTATCCTCTCTACGTTCACTTGAAGTCCCGTCTTCCTTCGCTGCCCTGCCTCTTCTGTCAACTAACTTGTTAGTTTGTGCCTGTAGATCTTCGTGTTTCTGCGACAACATATTAGACACAAATCATCATCGGCGACGAAATCGAAATCTTCTCCTGGGATCTTTCCATCGGTCCAGCCAGCGTATACCCATCCTCTCCCTCCTCACTGTTTGCTGCATCATCCAATCCACCACAATCACGAAGATAATGAGTGATAGATAGTAGGCAGCCTTGTCGCCTTACTCCTGTCTTCACTTCGAAGGCGTCACTGAGATTTCCATCTTTTGAATCACTTGGCATGAGGAGTCTTCGTATAGTTGTTGAATGAGATTGATAAAGGTTTGTGACACTAAAGCCGCGTATTGTTGAAGCAGTTGTCAAATTATTTCTCGTCGACTGTGTCGAAGGCCTTTTCAAAGTTGATGAAGTTGATTGAGGTAAGGTAGAGGGTTGACTGCCATTCTATACTCTGTTCTATGATGACGCGTAGTGTTGCAATTTGATCCGCACATGATTTGTACTTCCTGAGTGCAGCGCATTCTTGAGTCTCTCCAGAATGATGCGGCTTAATATTTTGCTTGCTTGGGGTGGACAGAACCATGATTTCGAGCCAGTTCTTGCAAAGAATTAGATCTTCCTTTGTTGGGAGTTTGACAGGGTAGCTCTTCTTCCAATCAATAGGCAGGTACCTTTCATTCCTTCCAGACCTTCTGCAATAGTGGTGTGAGTATGTCGGCTGTTGTCCCTGCATCTGTTCTTAGTGCTTCTGGATTCCATTTGGTCTTGCTGTTTTCCCGCATTTCAGTAGTATGTACGTATTACTACTAAATGTAAAACTCGACAATACCGTATTTAGCTAGTATCCTTTTCAAGAAGAAGAAATGTGTTAGACATGGACTAACTAACTCATCAATTAATTAATTAATGAACTTTTGTTTTCTCAAAGTAAACTAATTAAAGATTAAACAGCTTAGTGTTTATTTAAGTAGTATGAATCGAACTACTAATGTGACTGTTCAACTGTTCAAGTTATTGTTGCATTTTCAAGTTAGTTGTACACAGAGTAAATAGTCTTATGTGAAATTTATACTTACACTTCAGTTTATTATATGTATACATGGGAACTGTTTCTATCCAGTTGATGCTGTCTGTATAACATGGTAAAAATTCTATACGGGATTCACGAAATATCTTTCACAATTAACCCATTATTATTATTATTATTGACGAATTGCATAACTTTTATAATCAAAGTACTGTTCAGCGTTAATGCCTTCGTCATTCTCTGCCTCTTGTATTTATTCTTCATGAGTATTACAATGACCCTTATTCAATTCATGTTCGAACTTATTTCGCTAATCGTCGTAATTGGAACCATATGAAATAAATTACTAAAATTTATTAAAGTTTACTAACATTTCGTTGTAAATTATGTTCTTCACCTTCGTTTTCACAACAGATTGAATATTATACCATACCTAATTATGTTAAGAATTGTTGCTATCCTCACATAGTCTTCATCATTTTCCTACCAATAACAAAAGGCTTAACAACTACTTATTTTCTGTATCTGTTCAACAGTAGACATATACACATCCAAACTAATGTCTAATGTTACAGGCCAAGCAGGTAATTCGAAAAGAGCAGAAACTCTTTAACAAGGATTTATAACAAAGTAATCAATGTGGATTGATTGTTGTCGTTAGCTGAATAGTGGAGGCGATCAGGTGAGATAAAAACTCTTCTAATGTTTCAAGTTGGCGTAGGTCAGCAACAGTCACTGTTTACGGTATTCTATAGATGACCCGAAGATGCCTCTCTAACTAGCTACACTTACTTGTTCGAACAATAAGTAATCATAGACGAGTATTATGGGCCTTTCTAGTTCTTACACATCCATTCAGCTGAAAACTAAAAAAACAGTTCTATTCTCGAACTACTATACCATATCTACACCAATGAATTGACAGGAATACTCCATCGAATCTACTTGTATGCTTCAGATGAATTTCATACATTAATTTCACTGGTTAGTTGACGTCAAGTGAATAACCACACTTCATTTCTATACATATACATCTCAGAAACACACTACACATCTAAAACATCAGATTCTACCTATTTTGATAAGTGAAGTATGTCTATTGCCTGATTTAGAAACTAAAACCTCCAATATGAAGTTAACAGAGAGATTTTTTAGAGATTAAGAACAATATTTCGCTAGCGTGAATCGTTGACAAAGGTCACAGAGTAAAAGGTTGAGGTAACTGTAAACAGCCACAATAACAGTAATGAAAAGAGATAATGAAATGGAAAGTTACAAAGATTTGGCATGACTAGCATTGATGAAGTTGCTAAGACTAGTCAAAGATCAACTATTTATACAATGATAAAACGAACATTCTAGAGAAGATACTAATATGATATAAATGCATGAAAATATGAAAGAGTTGGGTATAATAATGCTATTCTAGAATTGACAAAAATGACATCATGGTTAAGTAAGCGCAACAAAAGGTTTTCATTATATTGAGTAATAAAGAAGATTATGTCCACTTTGGGTCGTCTCAATGACCATTTAGTCTGATCCATATAGAATAACTTAGCTCCTGCATAGTTCCTTTTTAGTGCGAGACTGTCTATGGTTTATCCACGCGGCGATTTCAACCCCCCCCCCCCTCTTAGAAGTTAAAATGTAGATAGACGAGCCTTTTATCAACTAATTTAATTGGTCCTCTTCGTGTCTGTCCTACCGCCGTACTTATATTCTATAGATCGTAAAGCAGCTGAAGAGAATCCACAAAGCATTGCTACTATTGTTTTTCTTGCTTTATCCAAAAGGCAGTTACCATCATCATAATATGGGTAAACATGTTATCATGGGAGCTGTAGGGCGAAGTTGTACTGCTGGTTGGATAGGGTTGTGATAGTAGTAAAGTATTATCCCTGGGTGACCATAAGTAGAAAGCTGATGTTCCCCTTCCTATGAGAACAGAAAGAGTGGGGAAATGTCAACCGCCAAAATAGCGTCAGTGTAAACAAATCTTAATCCAACAATCCTAAAAACATCAGGTATGACAGGCCTCAAGCAGATATCTTGTGGGCTCCACGATCACACAAAACCAATCCCTTTTCTCTCTAAGATACCTTGCAGAAACAATTTCTATGGTATGAACAGTCGCGAAGTACTAACCACTCGCACGTTTCCCTTGCCTTCACTTCCTCATACCAGTATTAAACCTTTTACAAATTGGGCAACCTCTCACTTCACGACCACCGCGAAAATTAAAGTCATCGAAGCCGTATTCCTAGTTTCCTAAGACTCCGTTATCGTTTCATACTGGAGCTTCCAACGTAATAAAAAACCCTATGCCAAATTAGACATTAGGCATCGCTAGGTAGAACTCTAAAGTCTCGATTTGTAGATGTACAGGACTGAAATATGTTTATTCACTTGACCTTACTTGACCAACTCAATGAATCTGGAGATTCAATGACTACCTCTCGTGGACTCGATGGTGTAAGTAGACCTTTGAGTTCTCGAGCAGAAAGTGAACTTCTCGACTGGATAACAGTCAACAGCTGAGGATGCACAGTTTGACTGAATGGATCTGTAGGAAGTGAAAAGT